AAAAAAATAAGAAAGTGATTTGACATAGAAATTATAGGGTCTTGGTTGCTTTTAACACTCGATTTAAGTTTGTCCACCCATATCATAATGCATTCTCACTCAAAAGGCATGATACACGACACTAGCCAACCGTCACCATTTAGTTTAACCTCCAAGAGATCAAAATCCAAGTAGAGATCACATTACGGAGGCAAACTAAATATACAATTCAGTTCAAGCGAATGGACATGTTAGCAACGACAAGATTCCAAATAAGCACAAAAAGGCTTACCTATTAACTCGGGGTTACTTCCTGAGATTCGAACCATAACATTATGTTGTATTACAAGTTGGTTTAATTCATATTATAGAGGAGATATTGCCCAAATTTTGACAAATTATATGTGACATCTTTCAAGGCAATCTGTAAGTCTTCACTTATTCAGGCTCACACATATATCTTTTAGACATTTCATAAGTCCTTATGTATAGTAGTAGTTTATATTCTCAAGACAATTCCTAAGTCTTCACTTATTTAGGATCGATGTATATTTTTAAGATAGTTCGTAAGCTTTCATATATTGGAGCTGCTCATATTTCAGAGGCAATCTAAAAGACATCACCTAGTTGATTGCCTATATTTGGAAGTCCGACCTGCACATGAATGTACAATTCGAACTTCAGGGACGATTGTTATACCTATAAATTATGTGGCATACGTGAGACGGAGAGGGTCCTACATTGATTGACGTGGCATCGACTATTTAATTGATTGAACTCATTTAATTAAACAATTGTATTTTGGGCTTCAACTTGAGCCCATTTCACTATACCCAATTGGCCCAATTCCACTTCTCTATATATATATGTGATTTTATTTCACACAAAGGTATGTTCTCTAACCCTAGCGAAATCCTCTCTCCCTCTCTTACACTCTCTTTTTCTCTTGTCCGGCCGTTGACTTGACCGTTGGAGTCCAAACAGTCGTCAGACCTTTTTCTCAACCGGTGGCCTGTCTTCTAATGGCGTGTTCAGACTTCACTTGCCTTCAAAGTCGCAAATTTGAAATGGAATTCCTTGTTCTTGTATCTCTTTATGTATCTTCAACGTAGATAAATTTGTAGTGCCCTATTTCTGAGAATATTTGTGAGCATGGGTGTGTTTGTTCAAGGATTGATTACCAGCCCTGCAACCTGGCCATTAACAAACTAGGACTCCAGTCATCATCAATGGTTAGATTCAAAATATGAATCCATTTTAAAGCACCAGTATAAGGAGGTGATAACCAATGGAAAGAAAAGAGTAACTTGTGATAGAATGCAGTTGGTATAGCATAAGAAAAGGGCTGCCATCAAATGTGACTCGAAATGATTCTTCATAAGTGGTGCAGTTATTGAGCTCCAATTTGATGACAGTACCAAGGAACTCTTGGTCTAAATGGTCTAAATATCTGCACTGCATTTCACTTATGAGTTTAGAGTGTCACATATGTTCCCAGAGGGCAAATGGTTTGCCTTGGCTTCTTATGCGGTCACTAGTTGTTGGATAAATATAGTACATAATGTATATTCCACTAAGCAAAAAATACGTGTGTGCAAAGATGATAAAATCATGACTTACATTTGCAAAATATCGAGTAGAATTTTGGCTTACCAAAACAAATATATATATACGAATTTTGATTCATTCGAACATAAAAATGAGAGAAGATGAAATAAAATAAGGTATGCGAATGCAAATCTCTTTAAGATGGATTTTGCTTCCTTAATTTTGTTGGGCGAACCAATGCTTGACCTTACTTTTTTAGAACAGAAGATATCGAACAAGAAATTCAAAAATAATATGGAAATTATTTTGACAGAATTTAGAGAAGGAAAGAACTAGAAATCAATTATATGGAATTGATTTCAAGTAGGAAAAAATGGAACTAAAGGTCTCAATTTATAGATTTTCACATGGCTTGTTAAATGGTTGCATCTTTCCAGCACAATTAGTTTTAACCGTTAGATCACACCATTTCATATTTAATGGCGTATATTACAATTTACGCTGTATGAAAAGGTTAAGACTTTTCTTCATAGACCTTTTTGAATAGTCACACATATTAGGAAACAACACATTTCTTTGATTTGCACCATTTGGAATTGAAGAGTTGTCATTAGTCATCGCACAAATTGGAGACTTTTTCAATCCACATTAATACATATATCTTGTATTTCCAACACTAGTCAGACACATCAACAATGGTGGGAAACAAAAATAATGCTCTTATAGTATGTATTCAAATAACATGGCCGATGTAATTGTAGATTTTTCCGAGTCTTGTTTATTTGGCCATGTTAACCTGTAAACTTCATGTATTATATATTCATTTTTATTAAGATTTGGATCTATAAGATCATGAAGCTTGCTGGTGGGACCAACCTTGTTCAGATGCACCATGAGCTCAACATTAAGTAGCCCAATTTCATTGGAAAAAAGTACCGGCATGAACAATAACTATATATGTCGAAGAATTTCGTAAATTTTAATACGTGATGAAAATTTTTGTTAGAGAAAAGAGTAGACTTAGATACCGAAGTGAACATGGATGCAATCAAACTAGAGTCAAATTTATAGACGAAAAGACGAAGGAAGAGAAGGAGAATAGGAGGTGTAGAAGATAGAAGGGAAGAGTCAAAGAATAAAAACAGAAACAGAAACAGAAAGGTATAGATGTAAGGGAAAACAGAATTGTGTTTCAGTTATCAAAAGGTGGTTTAAAATGAAAAACTTAGTACTATCAATTTATACTTGATGTTCTAGTAAACAAGGTAAACTACTAAACTACAATAAGAAAATAAAAGAAAGTCTCTCCACATAAATTATAATATCTCTTCTTAAAATATGTATATAAATTGGCAAGTTTTGAATATTTCTAATACTTATTAGAGTAATGATACTTATATTCATTCATCGTAGTAGGCGCTCCATGTGGCATATCCTATATGGCTGTTTGTGATTTGATACATTAATGTATTAGATTTTTTTTTTTTTTTTTTTGGGCTCATGTATCTAATTCTTATGGTTTTGATAGTTTTTTCTTTTCCAACTTACACGAAATTGATTTATCTTTTCCACATTTGTAATCAAACAAACCCTTAAAGTAATTATATTCACAGTCGTTCACCTCAGTAATCCTCCTAAATGACATCCTATATGACGATTTGTGATTTGATACATTGATATATTTTTTTTTGGCTCATGTATCAAATTATCAACCGCTATATATATGCCACATAAAGCAATTGTGGTAGTGAACAATTGTAAATAACATTATTTTATTTATTACGATCTCCATCACTCTATCCCTATGAAACGTGGGTCAGGCTATGTTGACCAACACACTTTACATCTCTAGACAAAACTAAATAAGAGCTTGAATTCAACTCTTGCCACTCATCCTATGCAAGTGAAGTTAGAAGAAATGCAAATAAAAAATAATAACATTACATATGAAAATATAAGTAGAAGTTTATTTAATTACTATTGCATATCTAAGCAAGCATCTGTTTGACAAAATTTATAAATTGTTTATAAATGGTGAAGCTTCATTTTCAAGTACACATTCTAATGGATTTAAAAGTACTATCCACTTATTCAACACTTATTTCTATCTATTTATAATTATTTAAACCATTTATAAATTCTTCCTAAATAGAGGCTAAGATAAAACATTGTACACCTCCTATCAACGAGGCTGAACTAAGGCTAAATATAATCGATTTAAGTTACTTCTACATTTGCACTTGAATTCATAGCCATCATTACAAAAACTTATAAATGCACAATATTTATTAAGAGTACAACGCTAAAAAGGTGCAATGAGTGCCCAAAAGCTTCTCCCGATCCATACCTATAAAGGATATAGAGAGAGCCAACGGTCAAGCATCGCAAAACATTCCTTAGGTTTGAACTCTGTAGCTGTATGACCTGCTCCCTGCAAAATATGAACACAAATTTATTTCTTGTTTTGTTTCAAATCAGTTTGAGAAATAGAATAGTCAAACTTTTGTTACCTTCACTGTTACAAATGTGAGATAAAAGTCATTGTTCTTGTACTTCTCTGTGAATCTACAATGGACAATAGGCAGTGCAGTGGTGAAGATAATACCTTTATATATGTATATATATACATGTGTTTGTATCAAGAATTAGAAACCAACCCTGCAACTTGGCCATTAACAACCCAAGGTCTCCAGTTGTCCTCAACGGTCATATTGAGACTACGAATCCATTTTAAAGTACTCATATAAGATACAATCATGTCATGATCACCACTAGAGAGAAAAGAAGCATAATTAGAAAACACGTACATTGTAAAACATAAACTTCATTTATTTAGTCAAGTTCATTAATGTATTTTGATATCATATATCCATATATTTGTATACTAGTTTATTCATGTCTTGAGAATTACATGAATTATTTTGAGGATTAGTTTGCATTTAATAACTAGTACATGAATTATATTAAGTTCATATTTCATAAAACTTATAAAAGGCTTGGTAATTGTACTCATTTTTGACATGTCAATTGAGTAAGAGGTGTGTGTGTGTGTGTGTGTGTGTGTGTGTGTGTGTGTGTGTGTGTGTGTGTGTGTGTGTGTGTGTGTGTGTGTGTGTGTGTGTGTGTGTTTGTATCAAGAATTAGAAACCAACCCTGCAACTTGGCCATTAACAACCCAAGGTCTCCAGTTGTCCTCAACGGTCATATTGAGACTATGAATCCATTTTAAAGTACTAATATAAGGTACGATCATGTCCAAATCACCACTAGAGAGAAAAGAAGCATAATTAGAAAACATGTATATTGAAAAACATAAACTTCATTTATTTAGTCAAGTTCATTAATGTATTTCGATATTATTCATCCATATATTTGTATACTAGTTTATTCATGTCTTGAGAATTACATTAATTATTTTGAGGATTAGTTCGCATTTAATAACTAGTACATGTATTATATTGAGTTCATAATTTGTAAAACTTATAAAATGCTTGGTAATTGTACTCGTGATAAGCTTAGCTTTAAGCCGCTGGCGTTCGGTTCGAGTTGGAATTCAATAGTCTACAAGCCCGCCCCTGAGAGCAGGTTTTTCCACTGATGTAGATAAAGGTTATTCCTTCTTCATACGTGCAAAACTTTCTTCGAAAAAGTTCTTTCGTATTTATATGAAATAATAATTTTATTGTGGTGGGCATCAAAGAGTTGAGGGATTCGGAAAAAAACTGAACATTGATGAAGTCGTTAGTTCCATTAAAGATCATGAGGAGAGGTTAAAGAATGAGTAAGAATCGATGGAAGTCAAGGAAGAGGAGAGAGAAATTTCCAACATTCGGCCAACAACGAAAGGAGCTATCAACACTCATATAATCTAAGAGGACGGGGAACAGGGAAGATAAATTTCTCAAAGAGGTGGAAGATATGATAAATCCCAAGTTGAATATTACAACTGTCACAAACTTTAGCATTTTGCATGGAGTGTAGGAATAATAATGGGAGTGTAGGAATAATACTATTGAAGAGAAGTCCAATTATGTTGAAAATAAAGACCAAACAAAAAGAACATTTCCCTTGGCATATAAGGTGCAAGAAAGAGGCAACAATTCGTGGTATCTAGAAAATGTGCTAGTAACCACAAGTGTGAAGACAAATCTATTTTCATAGAGTTTGAGGAATTAAATGATCGTGTCACTTTTGGAGATGCATCAAGGTTGAAATCAACTAATGGGAAAAATTCTTATTCCAATGAAGGATGGAGAGAACCAGTATATTTTTAATATCTATTATGTTCCTTCAATAAAGACAAATATTTTGAGCTTGGGCCGACTTTTGAAGAAGCGATATGCCATTCAAAAGAAAAATAAACAAAGTGGCGCAGCGAAGAGAAAAGATAGGACCATCATGAAATGGCTTAAAGCATGTTGAAGACCAAGCAAATTTCAAAGGAATTTTAAGTTGCAGCTGTCCAATGCGTTGGAGTCAAGTAAATTTTAAAAGAAAAGAATAATGAAGAGGTGAAGTTAAACGCTATAAGGCTAAATTAGTAGTTAAAAGCCATAGTAGAAAATATGAAGTTGATTATGATGAAGAATTTGCACTAGTGGCTCGTTTTGAAATAATCAGATTGATTATCTCCATGGAAGATTCACCAAATTGATGTAAAATTAGCATTGTTGAATGATTTTCTACAAGAGGATGTAAATACACTACAACCTCCCAGTTATGTTGTGAAAGGGCATGAAGATAACAGTATTGAAGTTGAAGAGAGCTTTGTATGGTCTAAAGCAAATTCTAAAGGCATGAAATTTGAGGCTAGCAAATTTCTTCTAGGGACAAATTTGTCAAATGCCCTTATGGACATGCTATCTATAAAAGGGCCAATTCAAATGATGACACCTTAATTGTTTGCTTATATGTAGATGGTTTAATTTTTACAATTAATTTAACATGATTTGATGAGTTCAAGATGATGAGTTCAAGAGCACTATGGTGAAAGAATTTAAGATGAGAACTATTTGGTTAATAGCTTGTTGCATTGGCATTGAAGTGAATCAACAAGAAGATGTGATTTTTATTTTTCTAAAGAAGCCTATGCTAGAAAGATGCAAGACGGATGATTTCAAGAGAAATAGCACCCTCATGATTGTAGAATAAAATTATCTTGATTTGATGGAGAAAAGTTGATTAAACTCTTTACAAGAGTCTTGGTGGAAGTTTAAGATACTTGACATGTAGAAGACCTAATATTTTGTTTGGGACTAGTCTTGTTGTCGGTACATGAAAAATCTTACAATAACACGTTTGAAGGCTATAAAGAGAATCCTATAATACAACAAAAAGCACTATTAGCTATGGTCTATTTTGTTAATATTTGGATAATTTCAAGCTTGTTGAATATAGAAATAGTGATTGGTCGGAAATATGGATGATTGAAAGAGCACAAGTGGTCATGTATTTTTTTATGGGAGATACAACTTTTACATAGTTTTAAAGTAGCAGCTTATTGTCAAGTTTTCAATTTGTAAAGTGGAATGTGTGATTGTTGCATCATGTATTTGTCAAGAAACATGGCTTAGAAATTTGTTGAAGGAAGTTCATTTGCAACAAGGTGGTGTAAATCTAACAGAGATTTTAATTAACAAAGTCAGTATTACCCTTGGCTAAATATCCTATTTTTCATGATTGAAGCAAGCATATTGACATGAAATATCATTTTGTTCGAAATCACATTGACAAATACTATGTGGAATTGATAATTGTATTTTGTACGCTTATTCATGATTTTAAAACGATGATATTTAGTTGCTTCTCAGATGAATTATGCTCTAAATTGTTGCATTTGGTATTGAATAAATAAAATTCAATGATGGTACAAGAAACTGGAAGAGCAAAAATTTGAGAAAATTGCTAAGTTGTAAGAGATCCAAAGTTTAAGGACTAAAGTGTAAATACTCAAAAGTTGTGTCGAACTTCATGATGAAGATTCAAGAATGCTCGGAGTCAATTGGATAAAGAAAGACGTCAAAGGGATTAAATCTAATCAAAATATGATCACACATTAAGTTCCAACCGAAAAAAAGTTATGCTCCATTTCAGCTTCATATTGGGACCCGATTTTGACATAGAAAATAATCGAATTTGATAATGATATCTGAAGCAAAATTGTAGCCCTTTGAGTTAGCTTTCCAATGCATCTTGAATCGCCTCAATTGGATATTGGAGAAAAAAAAGTTATGATAAAAATACTAAACAATGTGCTGTCTATCCGAAATGTGGCGTCGGCAAAACATAGCCATGGCACTGTGCCACTTTAGGGTGTCGAAGCGCCGCCTGGGTGCATCTAGGGCGCATTTTTGGCCCATTTTGAAGTCCATAAAAACTCTACTTTCTACATACACGAGGAGGCACCCATAAATACAAATTTTCTAATACTTTTTAGGGGATTCACACATTTGGAGCCTCTATTATTCATAAAACATTGGAGAAAAGGGAGAGAATTCAAGGGGGCAAAAGATTAAAGGATTGAATCAACTCATTAGGAAGAAAACACATGCAATTGGGGATTGAAAGAAGGTATTCAAGGGAGAACAATATCAAGCAATCCAAGTTTTGAAGCATAAATTGAAAGAGGAAGAAGATCTTCGTGCAAGATTGATTTTTTATTCTACATTCTTATTCAAAACCCAGTGATATCTTTCATAATAACTTCTTGTTTTTCTTTCATTACGATAAGTAGCTAAATTTAATTTTAGGACAAACAATGTAACCTATTTGTGACCCTTTATTTCTTTTATTTGAGATTTTTGTTCGTTATGATTATATGTATGAATTTTAATCATGTTCTCAATGTTTTGAATTTTCTGGCCAATTATTCAATGATTTCATGAATAATTATTGCGTAGAGATGCGGATACTTTTTTAGACCATATATTAAAATCCGGTAAATTAATACAACGTGTAGATATATCTATATTAATTGCTGTGATCATAAATGAATTCTTAGAACTATTAGTGCGTTTAACTAAGTTTGATTCCCATAGAGATATGGAATTGAAGTAGTTAAATAGGCTTAATGAGAACTCGAGAGGGGTAAATTGAATACAATAGAAGAATTCGACCGAACATTACTTTAGATTTTATGAATTTCGGTATTAGAAGTAAAGGTAACCAATAGGTAAAGTTGTTTCGCCCTAACATCCATCTATTGTTTGAATTCCAAATCACTTTTTGTTGCATCCATTCACATTTTAAGTAGTTAGATCAAAAATCACAATACATCATTATTTTTGTTTATTTTCATCAAATAGTGGTTAAAGAAAATTAAATTAAGTGCTAAAGAATAGTCCTCGTGGGATCGACAATCCGGACTCTTAGATTCACTTTATTACTTGTTACGATCCGTACACTTGCGGAAATAAAATTGACAACAAGAATTAAGTTTGTGACATTTTCAACAAGCATTTGAAGTTTGATGCATGAACAGGGTGTTGAGAGTATATGTTAGTCAACTGCATCATTTATTTTAGCGAAGTTCATTAATATCTTTTAGATTATTCATGCGTACATTAATGCACTAGTTTATTCATCTATTTCTTAAGTACATGAATTATTTTGAGATTACTTTGCATTCATTAACTAATACAAGTATTTAATTCATGTTTTGTAAAGCCTATAAAAGGCTAGTAATTGTACTCATTTTTGACAAGTCAATTCTTAAGTGTTCTCTTGAATATTATCATCTCCTCTCCTACCTAAATTTGTTTCCATCTTCAAGTTTTCAGCAATATATTAGAATGACATATTTGTTTATTTACATTTTCGATTAGCGATCTTTAATGAATTTCGAAGCAACATCTATATTTTAGTTGATGGATTAGATTAAAAATAAAATAAATTAAGCCATGATTTCTATAAGAAAAGAATATTATATCACTTACCTATATACCAAAGCTTGGTAACCTTTCTCACTGAGGAGTTTATGAAATTGTACAACACTTTGTACATTTATTTCATAGGATAAGCTGTGATTGCATCTCGTCCACCCTAGTATCATTCCCTAGTAATAAAATACTAGATTACCTTAAAGAGTTAATCAAATATACTATTTCCCTTTTTCTTGATAGTTAGCATAGGGTAAAGTGTACTGAATCATTAATGTTTTTTCTGCTTATATACCTTTCTAATATGAAGAGCTTCTTGGACGGTCGGATCATTTGCCCAAACATAAGATGTTGCATAATTTTGATCCTGCACAAAAGAAACCTGCTCTTGATCAAAGACCCTATAAATTCTTACAGGAACATGTACTGATATATAGAGGATGAAGTTACCCGACACCACATTCCTCCTTTTACAAATGGCAGAAGGAGGTGATCAATTGAAAAATCGTCCCAAAATGTATGATTCCGTCCAATTAGATGTGGTTTTGCACATTTCGGTTCCAAAATCTGACCGTCATCTAAAGGATTTATACACTGCAATATTTAATGATATCTTGAAACTTGTTTAGTGTTTATATCCACAATAACTGTTAAACGAAATGAAGAATAAATAACATAAGAAGCATAGTGTAACCTCGTGGATCGGTTGAAGGGCCAAAAGACATTGCAGATTATTTGGATCAGGATTGTCGTATTCCCCATTACAGCTAATTTTTGCTGCCTAAAATTGTGAAAAGTAGTTACATGAATAAATACAATGATTTAGCTAAGAAGAGGTTTCCATGAGAAGTTTATTGTTTGGCCTTCATTTTATCATCAAAATATTTAATCGAAAATATAATTATGATGAGTCACTCATCATAGTAATGCTACTTAAACTTAATATTTTGTTTGATTCTTAGAGCCTTAGAATGTTTTGATTTGTGTTTTCTTGTTGTCTTATAGGTTATGTGAATTGATGTGAATGATGTGAAACTTGGAGAAACATGGTTTTGTCATGAATCAAGGAGAAGTTGTTGATTTGGTGAAATTTGATGATTGAAGGCCAAATTGAAAGATAGAAGTGAATGACGAAAAATGGTGAAATCCAAAGGTTGAGGACTCAATTGCAATTTTTCAATAGATGATTCGGACCCCAATTTCAATCCAACTCTTCCAAGGACTTCAACGAGGCATAAATACCAATTTAGAGGCCACTTTTTAAGGACAATTCAACAGGGCAAGAATGAGAAAATCAATCGAGAGATCTAGAAGAACATCAAGAAGGAGGATTAATTCAAGCTTCAAAAGAGTTTTTATTCTTCTTCCTTTTTATGTTATTAATCATGATTTGTAAAATTCTTTCTTCTACTATGAACTAAATGTCTAATCTAGGGTTTGATGTAGCCAAAATTTAAGAATATGGTTTGATTTACTTTAGTTATTTCTATGAAATTTTCCAATTCCGTTTATTTGTATTATTTGTTTAATGCTTTCAATTATTTGGCCACTAATTGAATGATTTGATGCCAGTCAATTTAGGCATGATCTTAGAATAACACAACCTAGGAAATTATAGGTTTCGAGAGGAAGTATAATTCCTTCATGGTATATTCCACTTATAAATCACGAACTTGATAATTTCTAGATTTTGACTCGAAATAGAGATATTGAAATTGAAATATAAAAATAATTTTTACTTGGCACTCGAGAGAAGGTCTAGAATTACATTAGGGTTCTCACTTATAAACTTTGGAAAATTGATTAGAAATAATTATATAATTAAGAATCATACGATAGTTTGGTGAAATCTTAATTATTCTTCTAACTTGCATTTACTTGTTGATTTCGTCACCATATTCATCATCAGATTAATTGATCTTATAATTCGATTTTCTAGATAAAATAATAGTTATTCAATTGTGGTAATTAGTATAAAATTGATATTCAATTCTTGTGAGTTCGACATCCGTACTTAATCTTATATTACAAAACTTGACATTGTACACTTGTGGTATAATTTACATTGTAGAAAACGCCAAACAAATTACCTCAAAATATTCATTGGATATAAGTGCCATGCGGTGAGCATATGGAATTTGTGCATTGTTTTCAATGTTTTGATCTGTTATTCCATTGCCTATAATGTATCCCTGTTTCAATTCCAAAAGTACTCTTATCATCAACATGAAATATGTTACACATAGAATATATATAGGAGAAATCATATATTTCCACAAGATAATCAAATATTATTAGTACTTGGAGAGACATTCGTGGCTGGAGTCCTGCTTCATTACCTGCATTACCATCCACCATAACACCTTAACCAAGCTTAGTTGGTGGAAAAGAAAAATTCGAATAAAAACTTCTTTGTTGCTATTTTTTTTTTTTTTTTAAATATCCTACCTCGTAATATTTCCAAGGCAACCATGGGAGCTAGTTTGCCTCCATAGGAGTCTCCCGCAACATATAAACGATTTTTGATAAATATGGGATGATTCAGTAACCACTGTATTTTCAATATATTGTTAGTTGACTAATCCAAGAAATAGTTGTGGGAGTTCGGTGGGTATACAACTACTTCTATATCCCACATTCCTCGTGAAAGAACTTAATTTTTATTGCCTTCAATTTCTACTTAAATATACAACATATATGATTAATAATGTCAACATACCTTTCTAAGAAATGTGTAATTATCTTTTGCTGATTTGGTGTCGGAGGAAAAATACCCTTGTGAGGTGTTTGAATAGGAAAATCCGGTACCAACGGGCCAGTCTAAGAATATAATACTGGCAACCTGAAAAACATATGCTTGTATTACTGTAATAGTTGCATGTCTTGAAACATCGAGTGAGATATTTTTTTACCTTGGTCCATGAATATGGATTTAGGAGAATTGACGGTAAGCTTCCATTAAAATTCGCAATATCAAAAGATAATGGACCTGCACACAAGTACAAAAGCTGAGGGAATCATAAAAGTTATATTTATCAAAATAATAAATTCTTTCTACCTCTGTAAATCTTGAAGATTATATTTATCGATTTGAGAAGGGAATTCTTTATTTACAATCATGTCTTGAAAATTGGAGGCTTGTGATTTTATTTTGGAATTTACCTGTCTTCTTTTTGACATTCTCTTTTTGTCTATTACTTCTCAATTTCAGCCCTGACTACAACTTTTTTCCATTTTATATTTACTTATTTTACAAGTTTAAACTTGAAGAATTAATACTAGGATGAAATAATTATGGACCAAGTGCAATTGAAGCCAAAAGTTAGGTTCTACACTTAGGAACTTGCATTTGTCAAGGAACTGAATTTCTCGTGTCGTTTCTATCCTTTGACCTTTTTTCTTCATGAATTTATGGTTAGCTTTTTGCTTCTTGAGATATAATGTATAAAGACATTTGACACTACCCATGGTTACTATTTAAAAAAAAAAAAAAAAAAAAAAAAAAAAGAGTTAGAGACAACTTATAAACGTGATAGAAAAGGTCGGCCTTGAGGGTGTGCAAGTTGTGCGATTGCACAATTCCCATAATTTTAGGGGCACCATATAAAGGGGAACCTAGCCCTCCAAGGTGTTCTGAATTTAATTTATTTATTTTTTCACCCCTTTTATTGAAAAAATTACTTAGAATCTTGTAATGTATCAATATCTCATCATATTTTTATATTTGATTATATGATTGGGGATCAAATATAACTTTAATTAAATTAATAAAAAAGAAAATGAAATCGAATTATTATATCCAATTTAAGCAGTCATTTTTGTTATTTTGTACTGGTCTTTTAATTTTCCTATGTGAAAGATGTTTTGCAAATGTTTCAAGAATATTTTGAAATGGCGCCAAGAACCTACCCTACAAGCACTACTCTAAAAGGCGATGTCTAGGCATCGTCAATGCACGATGCTCGATAGGCATGCCAAGTCAAGTGGCTTAGCACCTTATTTAGCGGTTTACAGTATTCGTTGACCGTTAATACGCACCTAAGTAGGGTTGGACATGGTCTGATTCGGTTCGATTCTAACGAGAACCGAACCGACCCAAATTTTTTGGGTAGTTAGTAAGTGGAACCGTCGGGTCCAAATTTAATTACGGAACCGTTTGGATTCGGTTCCATTCGGTTCGGTTCGGTTCGGTCCGGTTCCGTATTATAATTAAATTTTTTAATATATACAAATTTACGTGAATTTAATTAATGACATGTTCAATATTAACTCTTATAAAATAACAGTAGTTCAATCTTATGTGTTTCACGTCTCTCTCTTTGCTGAATTCTTCATAAATTTGATTATTAAAATTACAAAAAGAGAAAGATAGCGAGCTCAAAATAATTAAGAGAAATGCTGTAGAGCATTAATTCGATTTTCTCCGATAGAAACGACACTACAGTAGAATAACAAATTTGGATAAAATTGAGGTCGATTTGATTAAATTGATTTTGAACTGAAAATTAGAAATAGGAAAATCATATTTTGTGGTTTGAACTAAATTAACTAGTTAACAA